CGGCGGGTTTACGGAGGGAACAAAACGAGAGGCGTTGCCCCAAATCATTTCGTAAAGGCCTCGGGGACAGTTATTCGAAAGGCGCTTCAAACTCTAGAGGCTATTAAGTGGGTAGAAAAGCATCCGAATGGAAATGGTCGTATTCTGACAAGACAGGTAGCGTTTTTGAGCATGGTGGAAGGAGGGTTTTTTTAATATGTTTTATTATAGCGACATTTGATGTGTCAGTTTTTCAGGGGCGTAAAGATTTAGATAGAATTGCATCTCAGTTACGTCAGAACGCCAGGAATACAGAATTATAAGTCGTTTGGCTGTCACTGTTTTTCACAATAAAGTTGTTTTCTGTTGTTCTCAGTTGGCATTAAACTTGTACCTCAGTGTATTTCTCTAAAGTTTGATTTCTATTTTTTGAAAGTCGTCATTTGAATAAGTGGCTGAATTCGTGCAGTTAACGGTATGAAATTCACTGGTCTGTTGATGTAATGTGCTTAGTAGCTTTAATCATAATATTTCATCTGTGGCTCATTTAAAAAGTAAGTAAAAGTAGCGATGGAACTTCTTGGATTGGATTACATTCTGCGTGGAGGTGGGGTTGTAGTAACAAGACCGGTCGTGGTGTATTTGAGGTTATAATGATAGAAGGATGTGGATGCGTTGGCATCGTTGGAGGGTCCTGGTTTAGTTGCTGCAGTTGCGATGATCGCTAAACATGAAGTTTATATCTATGTTTACTGAAGGTGTGAGAGATTTTTCTGAAAGCTTCAGTTCTAGGTAGGATTTTGTTTGGTTAGTGTAAAGTAGTGGATTTGCATCAGATAGCTCGTGTTTGACATTAGGTTCCTGACCGTTTTCAGGCATTTGTGGTACAGAACAGGATTATTTGGTATTGATGGTGCGGTTACATATATTGAGGGGTTGAAACCGGTAAGGGCTTAGAGAAAATTCTAGGGAGGTGGGTATGTCTGTTTCTAATGGCTGACCTGACTGGTGCTGTTCGGCTACTTTTTTCTTGTTTCTTAGTGCTTTTCGATACTAATTATTTTTGAGATAAGTGGTACTGAAGATTCTGCGCTGCTTGTAAACAAGTTGCTGTGGTCATTACGTTTTTGGCGTGTCAGTAGTTTAGGTGGTTCTAGTTCCCGTGTTGTTTGAAAGATAAGTAAGTTTAGTATTTGAGAAACCTGACCTTGAAAAAGATTAAAACAATTAGAGTATCAGCCCAGAAGAGTACTGAAGTTTTAATTTCCTTCTCTGAAGCAGGTAATTAGAAACAAATGGGTTTTGAGACAGCTGCTTTTTTTAGGCTGTGCATTATTTCTAAGCAGTTTTCTAACCTTTTAACTTTGTAATGTCAGTCTTATAGGTTATTCCAGTTGGTGCTTCATGCTTTTTTTTGACGGGTTGGGTCCCACGATTATTTCAGTTTGCACTGAAGTATTATCCTCTTTATAATTGTGCCCTTGTTTGTCGGCGAATAGTACAGGAGTTTGCTTGAAATTCTGCTTTATTACCGTTAAATACAGAAGGAGAACTGGGAAGGTTGTTATTTTGGTAACTTGGTGAGGATTACGTTTTCTTCTGCTGCCGGAATCTTTGGTAGTTGAAGGGTGAGTGCGAGTTTAGTGATTTTTTGGAAGTAAAGGTAAAAATTAATACATTTTTTGGTTTTCGCGTCATAGTATATAAATTGTACATCTATGGTAATGGTTAATGAAAAAAGTAATGTTCTGGTCGTTAGTTAAGTCAAGCTTAATTTGTCAATGAATACTTTGTAATTAACGTTCATTACTGCCGTTATGCTTATTATGCTGTATTTCGGGACCTTGTTAATTTGAAAAGCTTATGAAAAATTATAGCTCGAGAAGAAAAAATGAAACTTTCTATTTGCAACATTTCTTGGTCACAACAAGTTTATTTCTTAGAGGATCTAGAAAAAGCCTGCAGTAGAATACAGTAAATGTTGGTCACATAGTGATTTGCTATTGATTGGTCCCTTCGGTTAGTCGAAGTTATTTGACTGTCTAGTCTACAGAAACAAGTGGAAAGATGATTTGACTAAGATATTTACAAAGTCTCGTAGTATTCTACATTTCAGATCTCTTCAAATGTATTTTTGGGTGCGAAAAAGTGATGACAGTCAAAGCATTGGTTTGAACTTGCACAGTTTAATAGGGTGTTTAATTGAGTTTTAGAATTTAGAAAGACTTCAAATAAATTACATGAAAGAAAATTCTGGAAGCTCTGGCGAACAAAAATGATTGTTGATGGTGAAGGGAAGGAAATTAATCGAAAAAGAAGAGCAAGAAATGGACCTCTGTTTTGCCCTTGAAACTGTCACTAAAAGCTTTTTTCTATTTAAAAGTAATTTTTTTTGGTGAGTTTTTCACGAGCAGTTGTAGTGTGGTGTTCAAATTTCACCTTTTTATTTCCAGTTGTCTATATGTTTTCGTCTGCATCACCGTAAAAGCGAGTGCATGAAGGATGGTAAGGACGATGTGAAGCGGTGCAAACAGGTGAATTCGACGAGAGTTTTTAAAAGTTCAAGCAGAACAAACATTTGTGAAACATTAATCAGTATGACGTTTTTAACTAGCAGAGAAATTTGCAAGATTTAAGCGTGTTTTCTTTTCTTTTAAATATATTTTATAGTTCATTTATGACGTTTTAGCATATTTATTTTATGGAAACATCGATTGATTTTTAAAAGATATAGAAATGCTGTTGATCTGAATTTTGGTCTTTATTGAGGAGCGATTTGGCTGTGGAGGAAAAAAACTTGTCTCTCGGAGTATTAATCTGGTAGATTTATAATGATTGCGTGGCGAAATCAAATTATAGTTATAAAACTTATTGGTATAGGACGCATTGTCAATTGTCGAGAAAACAGATTATGTAAGTTCTTGAGTATTTGAAGAAATGATGACGTTGTGGAGTGAAAGTGTCAGATGAGCCGATGTCAGAAGAGATTTATTTTCAACTTTCTCTTGCTATAGTTTGCTATTGTTAGACTTAATTTATGAAACTAGAGGTGATCAGAGAGCTTTTTTTTTAAATGTAGCCATATAAAAATATAAAAATGGTTTAATTCTTTGTGGCTTATCTAATCGTTTCAAAATCGATTTTAAAAACTTCAAAGTTTGCTTGACGACGGCCACCTCATATAAAATATTTTTTGAAGCCTCATTTCACACATTTACTTTGTCGTTGCTGAAACTTCTAGTTGTCGCTCCTCTTTGCAACAGCTGAAGGCAAAGAAAAAAAGGTTTATTTGTTGAAGCTGCTGACTTTTAAAGTCATTTTGACATTTTACTAGTTGAACTAGTTGAGCTTTTCTTGCGTGAAAGTTACACCTGTTTTATTCCTTAAACAGAGCTTTTTTCGTCGCTAATGGTGTTCTGTTAACGAGATGTAGAAATTTTCGTTCCGTATTTAGTTCCAAAATTTTGGGTTTTATTATTTCTTTTAGATTTCAATATCCTAAGTTTGTTTTTCAAAGTTTAATTGTGCATATATTTTATCAGTTAATGTGGAGAACCTATTTCTTTCTTTATTATTTTTAGAGTTTTTGGAAGGTAAAGATGAAGGTAGTTTTTCTTTTGGTGCTGCTATCTGTTGCTGGAATATTTGCACATCGCGGCGATTACTTTGGTATTTATTATGACACTGAGTAAGTTTGCTCTTTTTAAAAATTAATTTAATAATTATACATTTGACACATATTGGTATTTGCAGTATGAAGGCATTTTAACTGGACTTAGTAACGCCTGTTTTATGTTCATATGGAACTACAAAAGTTAATATTGAGATAACATAA